TATGCTCAATTATAATATATTTAAAATTATTTATTTTTTTTAAAGTGTCTCATTTCTTTTGCAAGCCACTGTATATTACTTTTTCATTTTTCACTTATATATATATAATTTTATTTTTTCATTATTTTATTTTTTCATTTTTTCACTTTATATATAGTCAAATCCCTCTATAATCACATCTATTTATAATCACACTTCTCTATAGTCATTTTTTATTTATATATAAACATAATAAAAAACTCCCCATAATCACATCTTCTTCATAATCACCAAATTTTGCTTTTCCAAAGATGGTGACTATTGTTACCATATTTTATGAGTTCTTGGAAGAGCTGGAGAGTGCTTAATAACATTATAATAAGTTACTTGATCAAGGTAATTATAATAAAGTTTATTAAGAATTATGGATGGGAGAGTATAATATAATCAAATCTATATAATGCATCAAGAAGTGTCCCTCCTTATCTGTTAAAAACTCTGGCCTCTCGAAATAGTCGAGAGAGGTAAAGTTTGCTTGTTTGTAGTTCGAAAAACCATTCTGCCATCTTCGTTGACGAGCGATGGGCTAGTTTTCCAAATTGACGGTCGTCCCGGTGACTCAAACTTCCAAGATCATCAAGAAGCACTTGAAATTTTAAACCTTGCAGGTTTTAAAGATGCAAAGATCAATAACAATCCTCTAATCAACCTTATACTCCAGCATGACCTAAACTGTGTTGCAGATAACGATCCAATACAGTCCGACCACCTTTCTGCGACCTTTCCTCACCCGTTGTTATACAATAAAGATCCTGGAATTTTTGATACTATCATAAACCGGATATGATTATGGAGGAAGATCCAGAGCAGTATGATAGAATTCCCTGAAATAAATAGAGCGAGAAGGTGATTACTCAAAAGAATTTGCATTATTCGAAACTATGGATAACTTGGCCTCATATTTGCCACCAAAACAGTCAATAAAACAAATAAAGAACGATAAAGAAAAAGTGCATCAACCAAAGAGCAATGGCCCAATAATATAGATATGAAGGATAAAGTAATAAATGAACAAGCTGTCTTACCAAAGCTTCCTTAGCGACGCTCTTTTGAGTTTGTAATTTTATTGGCTTTGTTTATTTTATCTCGAATGTACTTCGCTGTTTCTTCTTTTTGCCATTTCCAAAGTATAGTTTTGTAGTAAATTGCCGTTAGTTATGTATTGCTTGTTTAAACCATGGGTTGTGGCGTATTCTGCCACCCACTTGGCAAATGTCTCGATCAATTTTTGCGTTTTGTCCGTATGACTATGAAAAGATATAAAATGAGAATGTGTTTGAGTTCTGTTCTTAGCGTCCTATAACAGAGTTCAACTTAGGGAAAGTATTCATTAAAAACAGTGTAACGAAAAACTTACATCCTCCTTTTTAATTTGGCATTGGTGACGGTCACAAATAAACAAAGAAAATATATTTACAGTGCAGGACACTTAAAGACGCCAATAAAATTAGTCATCTTTGAAGCAAAGGGTCTTTATACAAAGATTATACAAAAAAAAGGAGGCCGCTATTTTGTAGTAAATAGGTCTAGCTACAAAATATCGGCCCCCTTTTTTTTGTATAACCTTTGTATAAAGACCCTTTGCTTCAAAGATGACTAATTTTATTGGCGTCTTTAAGTGTCCTGCGCTGTAGTTTATCAAGGTCATACGATGACGAAAAAAATGTTCGGGTCGCGTGGTAACCAACAATAATGCGTAAATTTTTGATCTGCTGGTGACATAAACCAATAAAAATGTAGTACCCTAGCCACGGCAAAAAAATGTTCGGATCACGTGAATTCGAACCACCCGAATATCCGAACCTTGCGTCGTACATAATTATTTCGACCGAAATTTCGATCGCATCAAAAAGACGCGCTGGATTCAAGAAACTTAAAAAAAAATCAACATCGACCATGATTAACTTGATCTTGATTACTTTAATTATATTAAATTTAAAGATATAAAGAACAATAAAATTTGATCTTTAAAAAAAATTATATTGTAGCATTAATCCCAAATCATTATATTGTAATATCACTAATAATAAAATATTTGAAACATCAATTATTTATTAAACTTAAAGGTCTCAAATTCTATTTTATATATCTTAATCTCTATTTTATAATTTTATCCAATTGATCTAACTGACCAAATAAAAAGATCTAATTGACCCAACCGACAAAAGAAAAAGATCCAATTAATTCAACTAACCCATTGCTATAAACACAAACAAAAAAATGAGCGAAAATAACTTGCTTGAAAAAACATGTAGTGGTTGTTACACAATAAAGCAAAGCATTAATTTTTGCTGATCAAGAGGTAGTAATAATCCACTATACGAGCATGCTACTTGCAATCATTGTTCAGAAAGATTAAAAAATAAACGAAAAGCAAAAGATATAATATTAGATATAGCGATTAAAGTTAACAATAAAAAAAAGTATAAATTTATCTCATAAATCTTGTAGTAATAGCAAATCAAGTATATCACGTATAAATAGCGAGTTGACAAGTCTTGAACTATCTTTTGAGAATACTGAATTCGTTTGGAAGTCAGTTCTAGATTCATCATCTAGTGAAGCTATTGATGAATAAGATACTCAAAGTAAAGACAATTCTGAGGCACTTCTATATGAATTAAATGAAATAGATAATATTATTTTCAAAGAATTTGAAAAAGCAATAGTATCAAATGAAGCTGTAAATCTTATCTTTGAAGTTGAGCTTGATCAAGAACTTTTAGAAATTGTTTTAGCTGATTAACAAACTATTGATAATAAAAAGGTGATTAAAAAAAGATTCTGGAAACTTGCTAAATTTCTTATTTGGTCGATTGAATTCAGTTCTGGCTATTATTGAAAAATACGTAATATATATTTGAGTAAGCAAAAGCAGTTAACATATAGTGCTGTGATCTATTTCGGGTGCACAATGTGAAATGATCGAGCATGGCAAAAACCAGATAACCAATTGATCAAAAGATGAAGTGAAGCTTGTACTTCTATTAACAGATATAATTATATAGGAAATATAAAATTATTAATAAATTTAACAAAAAAATAAGTTATTATTAATATACATCATCAAATACCACATGAACATTCAACACATTGACAAATAACATTCTCTAATAAAGCAAAAAAATAGATCAAAAACAATGCAAAATACGATTTGTGAAATACAGAAGTATATAGAAAACTCTATAATGAAAAACTTATTAATTTAGAGATACATATCAAAGAGCAAGTTTATTATTGAACATCAATTTATAAAAAAGAAACTTACATTATGAACTCAGAAAATTAGCTTCTTTTTGCAAAAATATATCTCAAACAGCAGGTATTTCTCAAAAAAAGATTCAAAATTCTTTATTATGTAGAAAATGATTTTGTACAGATCTTAGAATTCATTATATCATTATTTAAAAATATAGGTATTGAAAATATATCAGAAGTTATCATTAACTTCATATTTAAAACAAATCAGGAATGCTTTGAACTCTTTGTAGTGAATGTTAACTGTAAAGGGTACAGTATACCTATTGCATATTTGTATTTTTGTTCTTTGAATAGTAATAAAAAAGCTCGACAAGATTCTGAAAACAAGACACAAACTCGAGTTGAAGTATTATGGAAATTCTTCTTAAGTCTTCAACAAGAGTGATTAAAATCAATCTTTGTTCTAGTGAATAAAGATGTAGAAGAAATATCTGCAGTGAGTGAGATGTAATTCTAAATTATGAATATTCAAATCTGCTATTAGCATCTAATACATGTTATTAATTAAAAAATAAAAGAAAAAAAATCAAAATTAAATACCTATACAACAGCTAAAGTCTTGAAAGTAAACTACATATTTACTTTTGTCAGTTCATCTTGTATTCTAATAGATAATACAGATATATTATGTTCAAATGAATCTACAGAACTTCTTCTAAATATAATTAGAAAACATATAAACATATACCCACTCATTCCAATATCAAAGAATACTTTTTTAAATTCAAGAGATATATATTATCATTGTATTCAAGAAATATATCAATTTTATCATTCAAGAAATCTCATGAAATTATGAGACTATTTGTGGATTAACTGATATAATATCAAAAACTGAAATTTATTTGCCCAGTCTTTTTATTCAGCAGTAATACCTTTAGCTCACACAATTATGATCACAGAAAGTTATTAACGTATTTTTAAGTATAATTATAAATATAATTATAATAGATCACGAGTAGATTATTTAACTCAAATCTTAGTGAAGCAGCTTGTTCCAAACTTTGAATTTAAATTAGTATAATATAATGAAAATTACAGATTTTCAGTCTGGTGGTAGAATTTTAAAAAGAATTAAAATATGGTGATACTAATGGATATTGAATCTGAAATAGAAAATAGATATTATATTAATGTAAATGATTAGATATATTCATATCTAGCATACCTAAATAGTCAATATTTTCTATGTAAGCATCTTCTCATCAAAAAGGATGACAAATAGTTTCTACCTATCTTTTTTGAAACAACATGTCAGTATAATTATCCATTTTTTACTTTTGACAAGAGTAAATTACTAGTTATTACTCTGATAAATAATCCTTGAATTAGATATGAAACAATTATTGAAGAATTAGATATTTATAAGACAAGCTCTAGTTCAATCACTTAACAAGATGCTTCTGTATCTACCATACAGGATGCATTAGTGAGATGATGTGAATAGCTCACTATATATAAAAAAAATTTGAGATCACTTTAATATTATACAAACAAAAAATAAATAATGAGAATTTTGTAAAAACTTTTGAGAGTTTGATAAAATCAGTAATTAAGACAGTGAATGAATGTCAAGAAGCTCTGCAAGCTCGTAATTAACAGGATACTTGGAATTTAAAGAGTGAAAGACTTGCATTTTGGTTGCGTTAATTTTGTACTTGATATTATTTACTTTAGTTACTTTTGATAATAAATAAATATTTATTTTTACAAAAATGATGTGATAAGTCGAGATTTGAATATTTGGATGGTTCAGATTCACGTGATCTGAATATTTTTTTGCTGTGACTAGAGTACTAATAAAAATACATAAACAAATCTGATAAAGAAAATAAAAAATATAAAAATATAAAAAATATGAGAAATAGATATCTAATTCTATCTTGGTAGACTAATTAAAAATATCAGGAAGACAATTTTATATTTAATCTTGATCTCAAGTCTAACTCTAATTTTTAAATTAATCTTTAACAATAATCTCTATTGATATAGAATTTTTCAGACAAATATCACATGATCTGAACTTTTTTTTCCACCATGACTAGGGTATTCATTATCATTACTCTATTACTCTATTATATTATACATACAAAAGTTTCATGATCTTTGAATTTATCATCAGTATTATACAAGTGAATTATTATGATTGAGAATTTTTTTTGACAAAATTAATTGATATTATAAAATGAAATATGTAATAATTCAGATTTATTGTGATCAAAAATTAGTTATATAACTGAACTTGCTATACAAGTAATTACATGGGATACTCTTTTGAAGTTTTATATACAATTTATATTTTATGAAATTTCATGATCATTCATATAATAAAATAAATTATATATTTATCATATAAGTATATTTCGAGTTGGAACAGTATCACATAATATATAATATGATATAGTACAGTAAATCAATATATTTATTAGCATTTTGTACTAGTTTTACTAATTAATTTGAATAGTAAACTATCAGATTATTATATATAAGAAGAAAATTTTTTTATGATATATGAAATCTTATTTT